TTGCAAAAGGAAGGACTGGAAGTCACCCACCTTTTTATTGGGTTTAGCTAGCCAGGAGATTTCCCGGTTGAGTTTGTAGCTAGAAGGCAGCAACATTGGATTTGGTCTGTGCGCGGATGGGAGGCCCCCAGGAAATCTCCTGAACCAGAGCAAGAAATGTCTTTATTAACAGAAAAAGCACCCATATATTAAACGATGTTTCTAGGGTACACTCTTCAGTTGGCTTTTTACTGGAAGAGGCTGGTGCCCAAAACCTCACGTGAGTTTGTTGCCGATAATCTTGGTTAATCAAATTCTTGTTTGGTAGCGTTCCCCTGTGGTTAGTTTTATGGCAATTCTGGGCTCTTGGGCTACTGGATGCTGAAGCTTGTCATGCCAATCCAGAATAGAAGCCTGCGCATTTTTAAAATTTTCAGTGAAATTTGTGAGGTTATCCTGGTAGAAATTAAAGTGTGATATATTTTTTTTATCCTGTTTGAATGTCTCAGTTGCAGGGAGCTGATTTATTCCAATATCTTTGAACTCTTTGGGGATCCAGCTTGGTTTTCCTGAAAGTCGGGGCCTCTGCTTGCGTAACACGTTCATTTTTGCACACGTGTGAGAGTCCAAAAGAGGAGAGGGAGCGGAGGGTGTGTAAATGAACGAACCACAGTTTGTCGAAGTTACAACGCCACCGGAAAAAGTGACTTAGGACCCTTTTTCACACTTAACAACCATCTGCAGCCTCCCCATGTGATCAGAATTCAGACGCCTGGCAACTGATTCATATTTACGACGGTCACAGTGTCCCTGGATCCTGTGATCCCCTTTTGCAACCTTCTGACAAACAAAGTCAGTAGGGAAGCCCAGATTCATTTAACAACCGTGTGACTAACTTAACAACTGGGGGCCGGGAAAGTCGTAAAACGGGGGGCAAAACTCACTTAGCGAATTTCTCGCTAGCAACGTCAATTTTGTGGTTGCAAGTTGAGAACTGCCTGTTATTTTCAGTCGCAAGCTCAAAGTGATATAAAAAGTCAGGTGGGTTTGGCACGCTCACCTGCTGGGTGTAACCCCCTGTTTTTTCCCTCCGGGCTGCCTCCAAAGGCCCCCCGCCCTTTCGAGGAAACTATTGCCAGTTCGTCCTCAAAAACATTGATTATTGGGGATGTTTTGCTGGCTGGTTATAATTATTCGGATCTGTTTTCACGGCTGCGGGAGGAAGCGGCTTGGGCACGTCGTTGGGGAGTGTGAGAAACAGACCTGAAGCATCTTCCCAAAGCTTTGCACGGGGAATTAAATAACCAGCCTGTGAGTCACCCTGATTCAGCAGCCATTAACCCTCTCCCGCTTGGCTTTCCCAGCCACTGAAAACCCTCGCGCCAAGCTAGGCCTCTGGAACTCCCCGCCACAAGACTGGAGGAGCAGCTCTGGATTCACCAAAGGCAAAGCTTTATTTGGGAATGCTGATGATGCGATTTGTAGTCACGGAGGTTTTAACTGCTTGGTCACCGGGAGTGTTCAAGGCTTGGCTACCTCGGTGGGAGCCCAAAGCCGGTCCTAGCTTGGTTCAGTCGGGCTAGCTATGAGGAAACCGGGTTATGGGAGAAGCCAGCATCGAGGGGGGGGGTTGCCTATCTTTTCCCTCTGAATCAACCATTCTGCATTTCTGTCAGCGGAAACGCAGCTTGCAAAGGCTCGGTTATGTAATAAACCCAGGGCACTTTTTCCTGACCGTTCTAGTCTTTTATTTTTATTTTTTATTTTCCATCTTCCGAAGAACAGCCTGTTCTGAATATAGGAAGACTAAGTGGCGTTTTTCCTTTCCTGTGCCAGATTTCGTCACGGCCCGCAGCCTTTCTCGTGTGCCGTCCAGTCCCGCCTTCCCTGCATGTTGAAAGGGTGTCTCTCGAAACAAGAGACCAGCAATCTTTGCCTAATCTTTTGGGGTGCAGGGAAGGAGAGCCTGGAAATTTGAATTGGGCTGGGGCTGCCCCCCCCCCCAATTCTGTCATTTGTCTTTCCAGCACGGCTAGAGTAGAAGATATTTTTTTCCTCTTTCTTGGGCTTTGAAAAACAACGTTTGCTTTTGCGTGACTTTAGTTTTTCATTTTTTACAGGCGTTGCTCGTGCGTTCTCACTCAAACATCTGGGAGTTTTTATTGCTGTGTATTTTGTGACAATATGCAGATAGTCCTTGACTTACAACAATAAGTGACTTAGGACCATTTTTCACGCAACCGCTGCAGCATCCCGACGGCCACCCAAACAAAATTCGGGACGTTTGGCAACTGACTCGTACTTAGGACGGTTGCAGCGTCCCGAGGGGTGACGGGATCCTGATGATGACAATCAAAGTCGAAGTCCCTTAACAATCATGTCACTAACTTAAGAACTGCAGCGATTCCCTGCAGAAAAGTCGCAAAACGGGGCAAATCTCGCTTAACGAAGGTCTCGCTTAGCAACAGAAAATTTGGGCTCAATTGAGGTTGTAACTTGAGGACTACCTGTATTATGATATTATATTTATAGTGTGTGTTTTGGGGGGGGGTTAAAATGGAGTTTGGGCAATCATTTCGCACTTCCTCCTCGGAGCGATTCAGACCCAAACTAAACGCTTTCCTCAATTCTGATTTACTCATCAAACCGCTATGGTGAGCGGCCTCTAGTTTAGCAGAAGTGCCTTTTTCGGTTTGGTTTTATTGTGTAAACGAGAAAAAGGATTGCAAAACCGGTTTAGAGAACAGCGGACCGGTGGACGGATGGGGTGCTGCTCGGCTCTCGGCTGCTGGGTGCCCGTTTGATGAGTCTGAGAGCCGAGTTCGAGTCCGTACAACTCGGTTTGCAATGTAGAAAGCGGTAGGGATAGTCCCCGGCGTACGATCGCAATTTCCGTTGCTAAGCGAGACAGTGAGTTTTGTCCCCGTTTTACGAGCTTTCTGGACGCAGTTGTTAAATGAAGCAGTTGTTAACGTAGTGACACAGTTGCTAATTGAATCTGGCTTCCCCATTGACTTGGATTGTCAGAAGGTCACAAAAAGGGATCAGGTGACACACACACACACCCGGGGACCCTGCGACCGTCGTAAATATGAGTCGGTTGCCAAGGATCTTGAAGTTTGATCACGTGACCGTGAGGATACGTCATAACTCGCTTTTCATTAAACGAACCGCTATAAATGGAGGACTAGCTACATTTTCACAATCTAATCCCTCCGATGATGTCATGCAAGACTATTTAAAAGGTGCACCTGGATGAATCCCAATCTTGGCCTTTGGAAAACTTACAAGACTAAACCGAGGGGAAAATGTGTGATCTGGGAAATGTATATATTTATATTTAATATAAAATTATTAAATATCTTCCCATTTCTGCACCGGTGCCCTTGCATGGGATTAAATCAGCCGTTGTCCGTTTGTTCCCGCAGCGTACTTTTTCCCACCCTTGGATTTTATATATACACATCTGTGTGTGTGTGTGTGTGTGGTGTGAGCCTTAACACAGAACCTGATTCACACCCCAGTTTTTTCTTTGGATTTTGTTTTTCTTCCATGACTAACCGGTGTAGGGCTGGCAGGACTTCAGTGGGGCATTTATCCCAGGAGACGCTTTTGAAAACACGTTTCTTAGAAAGCAAGTTTACCCTGTATTCCGCTTTTTAAAAGGGGTTGATGGATTTTTTTCCCTGCTTTCCGCCCCAAAAGCGGGATCTTTGCTCAAGGTTGCCGTATTTGGGGTTGTTCTCTGGCAAGGAGAAGAACTAAGAAGGTGAGTTGATCACAATTTGGGAAGCAAGAATGGGACTGAGTTGAATAACAGAGTTGGAAGGGACCTTGGAGGTCTTCTAGTCCAACCCCCTGCTCAGGCAGGAAACCCTAAAGCATTTCAGACAAATGGCTGTCCAGTCTCTTCTTAAAAACTTCCAGTGTTGGAGCATTCACCGCTTCTGGAGGCAGGTGGTTCCACTGGTTAATTGTTCTGACTGTCAGGAAGTTTCTCCTTAATTCTAGGTTGCTTCTCTCCTTGATTAGTTTCCACCCGTTGCTTCTTGTCCTGCCTTCAGGCGCTTTGGAGAATAGCTTGACTCCCTCTTCTTTGGGGCAGCCCCTGAGATATTGGAACACTGCTATCATGTCACCCCTAATCCTCCTTTTCATAAAACTAATACCCAATTCCTGCAACTGTTATTTACGTTTTAGCCTCCAGGCTCCTAATTATCTTCGTTGCTCTTTTCTGCCCTCTTTCCAGAATCTCAGCCTCTTTTTTAATAATATGGTGACCAAAACTGGATGTAGCGTTCCAAGTGTGGTCTTTATACAGCAGTACTAATAAATGCTTGCTTCTCGTCGGGAAAAAAACTTTAAAATACATCTGCTTCCCAGAGGTATCTAAGCATGTGCAGAGTGCATCTTAATTGGAGCCGGGGTGCGTGTGTGTACAGTATAAACGTCTCACTGTACAAGAACGTGGCACGGGGAGATTGAACCATCTCCAGACGAAAGTGGGAATCGTGGAAAGGAGGGGGGGCTTCCCCCAATTTGGAATTCCCCCCCAGTTGAAAGCCATCCTTCTCTGTCCCCCTGGGAGGGGATGATGGGGCTCCTAGTCCAGAGCATCATCTCTTTCCCCTTCCTCTTCCCAACGTGATGAATGCAGAGCGTGGAACTTTGGAACGTGGTAGTGAACGCCATTCACCTCGGAACATCTGGAGGCTTCCAAAGGATGCTGGGGGCAGATGTTCTATTCCGTTAAGGGCCGTTGTCTTCTCCTTTTCATCCCAGGATTGGTGTGTTGGGGGGAGGAAATCTGTCTTTCTGGGCTGCCCCCCAGTGGTTCCGCCGCCGCCCCGAGCCTCTGTCCTCACAAAGCCACCTGTTTTAATGTTTAACCCATCCCTTGTTTTTCTTTCCACCCAATTAGGTGCTGTTGACCGCTGCCGGCCGCAGCAGCTTCTGAACGAGGTCTCGGAGCAGCGGGCTCACTCGCCGGATGACCGTGGCCGAGCGCTGGTCCTTGAATCATGGGGCAAAAAGTGACAGGGGGGATCAAAACGGTGGACATGCGGGATCCCGTGTGCCGGCCGCTGAAGCAGGAGCTGCAAGGGCTGAATTACAGCAAGCCGTCTCGGCTGGACCTCCTGCTGGACATGCCGTTCGTCTCCTACGAAGTCCAGCTGCTCCATTCGTGGAACAACGACGACCGGTCGCTCAACGTCTTCGTGAAAGAGGACAATAAGTTGACTTTCCACCGGCATCCGGTGGCCCAGAGTACCGACGCCATCCGGGGCAAAGTGGGGTACACTCGCGGGCTCCACGTCTGGCAGATTACCTGGGCGATGAGGCAGCGGGGGACCCACGCCGTGGTGGGCGTGGCCACCGCCGAGGCCCCTTTGCACTCGGTGGGCTACACCACCCTGATCGGGAACAACCTGGAGTCCTGGGGCTGGGATCTGGGGCGTAACCGGCTCTACCACGACGGGAAGAACCAGGCCAGCAAGACCTATCCGGCGTTCCTGGAGGCGGACGAGACGTTCATTGTGCCGGATTCGTTCTTGGTGGTGCTGGACATGGACGACGGGACCCTGAGCTTCATCGTGGACGGACAGTACATGGGCGTGGCCTTTCGGGGGCTGAAAGGGAAAAAACTGCACCCCGTGGTGAGCGCCGTGTGGGGCCACTGTGAAATCCAGATGCGATACTTGAACGGCCTCGACCGTAAGTCTCTTCGCTTTCGTGATACCTGGTTCTAATTGGGCCTCTGTACAGGATAATTAGCAATAGCAGCAGTAACACTTAGACTTATAGACCGCTTCACAGTTCTTTACAGCCCTCTCTAAGCGGTTTACAGAGTTGGCCTATTGCCCCCCAACAATTTTGGCCCTCACTTTACCGACCTCAGAAGGATGGAAGGCTGAGTCGACCTTGAGCCGGTCAGGATCGAACTGATGGCAGTGGGCAGAGTTTAGACTGCAATTCTGTATTCTAACCACGGCACCACCAGGCTGCCTTCCTTCTTGTCTTCCTTCTTGTCTTCCTTCTTGTCTTCCTTCCTTCCTTCCTTCCTTCCTTCCTTCCTTCCTTCACAAGCAATAGCACTTAGACTTATATACCGCTTCATAATTCTTTTACAGCCCTCTCTAAGCAGTTTACAGACTCGGCCTGTTGCCTCCCAATAATCTGGGTCCTCATTTGTATGACTTCCGAACAGTGTGTGTTGATTCCTACACAATTTGCTCTTTGAAGCTCATCTTTACCAACCGAGGCTCACAAATTATGTCGGAATTTGATGCTGGGTTGATTTTTCTGGCTTCTTGGTGCTTTTTTTGGGGGGGGGGTGTTTCTTTGCAAACCGGGGGCTCCCATTTTTACGAGAGAAGAGAATCCGGTTTTGCTGAGAAGAGGGAAACTGAGCAAATCAATGGATTAAAATTTAAAATTTAAAAACTAAATCTAAAATCCTGCCCTCCGTGGTATTTTTTTATTTTTTGGGGGGGTGAGGACGCGTTTAAAAAAAACAAAACAGCAGCCGGTGGGCCTGTTGGCTTATCTGCAACCAGACAGCTAAATTCCTGTCAATGACAAAAGAGTTTTAAGACTTAGTTGCTGAGTCATAATTCTCCAGAATATGCCTTTTTTTTTTTTTTTTTTTTNATTCCTGGTGTGTGGCACAATCTTGCTTGGTGCTTGGTGGGTTTCAGCTGGCTTAGCAACCCAAGTTGGGATTTATTATCTTTTGCAAATGGGTTTTGTTTTTGTTTTTTGGCAGATAAAGTGGAACAGCCTCGGGTTTTCTCCAAATCCTGGATCGGGGAAAAGATTTCTTCTCTCCCAAGGGGGCGAAACACTAGGAAAAGGGGGCACGGGGAGAATTTGGGGATGGGGGAGGCGGGTCTGCATCTTGGGATTTGCATCCACAACGTGCAGACGCCGCTTTCTTAAAAGGCAGTGCAGGGAATCAACCAATCAATCGCTTGATTGATGGTTTGGCGCCAGCAGGTTTTGTAGACCCTCCCAGCTGTAATGCTGTCTGTTTATGTATTTATTTAATGGTAGGATAGGACTGCATTTCCTGGTGATTCAGGGCTGCCTGCTGAGCTGGTCACCCAGGGAGAAGAAGACCCTTGCCCAGAGAAGCGAGTGCCAAAATCAGTTTTGCTCCAACTCTTCTCTGTAGCCTTGAGATCTAGCAACTTGGTTTCCCCTTCTGTCCTGTTCTATTCTGTTCTGTTCTATTCTATTTCTATTCTCTATTCTCTTTCTATTTTATTCTCTATTTCTATTCTATCCTATTTCTATCCTTATTCTATTCTATTCCATTCCATTCCATTCTATTCTGTTTTATTCTATTCTATATTCTATTCTATATTGTATTCTGCATTATTCTATTCTGTTCTATTCTATTCTATTCTATTCTTCTCCACCTGTGTTCTGGCAAGCAAAGTCAACGGAAGAAGCCAGATTCACTTAATGACGGCACGATTTGCTTAACAACTTCAGTGATTCGCTTAAGGGGCAAAAAAAAAAAGTTGTAAAATGCAGCAAAACTCAACAACTGCCTTGCTTAGCAATGGAAACTTTGCGCTCGTTTGTGGTCATATAGGCCAAGGGACTACCTACACGCTATAGCAAAGCGAAGCCGGTCAAGACGAAATTTCAGGCAGAAAAGTTAGTGAATTATCCTCAAGTGGACTTCCCCCAACCCTTAATTCAGAACTTCTGAATCCAGGAGAGTTTGGTCAGTAACATTTTGGCACTGCTTGCCGTCCTCTCGGGTGTGTTGGGTTGGGTGCCCAATTCTGACACATGGAATGCCACCCGGTGCTCTCCCGTGTGGCTTAGCCGTCGGCGTGCATGATTTGAGGCTTGCCGTTGGCAACCGTCTTTGGAAAATCTGCCGGAGGAGGAAACGGCAGCTGGGAGAAATAAGTCATTGCAAAAAAAAGAGATTTAATTGCCGATATTCGTGACGTTTTCCTGCAGGTGTTGCTTTTAAGTGGGATGACTTAGCCGAACTTAGTCAACAGGATGAGACTTTTTTCTCTGGAATGGGGAGGTCAAAATTGGTCTCGGCTACTATGCAACTTTTTTTCCCTCCCCCCTCCTGACTCCGCTAAATTTCCAAAATTAGTTTTGTAGACAAAGCTAATTGCCAGAACGAGCTTATTTCATCTCTGTCGTCTTAACTCACTTTGGAAGTCGGGGATTTGTGACGCCAAAGGGAACCGACCGATTCTTCCTCTGGCCACCTAGAGATTTTCTGGATCTAGCAGACGAAGGATTTGGGCTAATTTAAGAAAAATAAAAAAAAATACGCATTTCTCAGACCAGAAAGAACTGGTGGCAATTTGACTTTGTGCTAATGGATGTCAGCCTTTCTCAATGGCAGCAACTTTAAAATGGACGGACTTCAATTCCCAGAATCCCCCCTCCAGCAGGTGAGGACTGCAACTCCCAGAATCCTGCAGGCCGGGCTGGGGAATTCTGGGAGTTGAAGTCCACGCATTTTGAAGGTGCTGAGATTGAGAAACACGGATCTAGATCGGGGCTGATCTCATTCCAGCAAGTTAAATGATGAATTTGGCCTCTGCGATCAATCTTAATCTTAACGCGCAAAGCCATTTTGCTGTGAACTGTACCAATTTTGTCCGTTGTTTTTTTTTTTAAATTACATCCGGTATACAGCTGGGCTCACTGAAAGATCTCGACCTGTCTGTGCGGTCAAACGGCTGGTTGAATTTGGACTGTACTTAATTTGTAAACAGTGCTAATTTTGGATCTGTTTCCCTTTTAGCCGAACCTTTACCGCTGATGGACCTTTGCCGGCGTTCGGTGCGCCTCGCTTTGGGCAAGAACCGGCTGTGTGAGATCGCGACGCTACCTTTGCCCAAATCTCTCAAAAATTACCTTCTTTACCAATGACCCCCCTTTTGACACCGGAAGGACAAGACTCTCGCTGTAGGAGTGAACTATGTTGGATTCATTGAGACAAACTCTTGGGGGTTCATCCTTTCCCGTGCATTTTTCCCGGAAACCTGCCCCGCGCTCCATCCCTGGGCCAAGCTGCAGGTGGAAAGCTCCTTTCCAAGATCACATCCCAGTGGGATTTTCCAGAAAAGATTCCTTTTCTTGATAATTCCACCCAAACTTTCTGCATCCTTGTTTAGTTTTCCACTCGCCGTCAGCCACAAAAGGTCCCGTGGAGTTTTGTCGAGCGAGGACGACTCGGCGACTCGTCCGTTTTGGAGATGGCGCAGGGGCAAGAACTGGACGATCGGCCCAGCCTGGCTGCAGGAAATGGATTTGGCCCGGGAGGATGGGGTGGTGGCCTCCAACAAAAGAAGCAAGCCACTGCTGGAGATCTCCTTTCTCGCCCTGGTCCTCGGCCGTGTTTTATCCTGCCTTCACCACCGTGCCTTGGCGCCCGCGCATGGCTCACCTCCCATCTTTTGCTGGAGAAGATACTTGAAATGAACATTTGGGGTGAAAAGATCATTTGGGGGGGCTGGGAGGGAGGGAGGGAGGGATTGTCCTAAACCAGCCCATAGAGGAAAAAAAAAACCCTGCTATAAAGGAGCATTTTTCTCCATCCGTCCTTGACAGAGGGTGGAGGAATGGCTACACGAGCGCAGCTGGCTGGGAATTGGGGTGCCGGATATTCACGCTCAATGGGGCTTAAATTGTAGGATGGGTGGTTTAGCCAGCTAAGCCAAGTTCCATCCTGGATTCCTTGTTTGCAATCAGGCTAAAATCCCACCTAGCCGGGCTAAAATTCAGTTCCTGACGAGGAACTAGATCTTGAATTGATTGGAATCACTTTCTAAACACCTTCCTCCACTTCTTAGGCACGGCAAAAATGGCCCCACAAATGTGATAATCTAAACTAGCAAACATCCTTGATCCAACCAGCAGGGAAAAACATTTATCTTTGATACTGCCTTCCAAGGGATTTATTTTGCACGTATTTTATTAACCTAAATGGAGCTGGGGAAGACTTTGGTTTTGTCCCTTCCACCAAAAATTGTTCGACAGGTGTGTTCTTTTGTTTGATGTGTGTTGGTACATGGGGCTTCTCTAATTCGGAGGGGGAAATGTTAATATATAGATACATATGTGTGTGCGTGTGTATGTATGTGTGTATGTGTATATATATATATTTATATATGTATGTATGTATATATATACACACACACACATTTTGCATTGTTTTGAATGTAAAAACGCTGGATTGTTTTTGTTTTTGTTGATGTTTTTAAGACATGCTGCTGTAGAGAAATTGTAGTTAGATTGTTTTAAATGAAGAAGAAACAAATAGGCTAAGAGGGTTTTTGTTTTTTTCTTTTAAGCACACAACTGGTGCCAAAGTAAGTTTGGGGAGGCGATCTTCGTGGGCGCCTCTCTCTTTTTTTTTTTTTTTTAAATCGAGGAATTAAAACCAAAACTGTTTTCAAGCGGAACACTTTAAAATTGCACATAACAAAAAAAAGAATTTTAATGTGTGCATAGCCAAGCATTTTTAATTGTCCTTAGTCCCCGTTTCCCACTCAACACTAAGATTCAGGCACGTATGTGATCCCTTTTTTTGTGTGTTTATTATCTTGACTATTTCATTTCCCCTTCCTTCGTTTGATCCACATCCTTGGTGTGTCTGGCTTGTACAATTTATTATTTTTTTTAAAAAAACCCTCTCACTAGGTTTTTTTTTTTTCCCCTGCCCTTGTGGATTGTAGATGATTAGGACCCCGATGAAAGCGAACGAAAATAAAAATTTATTAATAGTGCAAGTCTGTGGCTGTCAATCTCGCACGCGCGGTGGGAGTTAACGGTTTAGGAATCTTAAAAGTGACACATTTTCCGTTCAAAAAAAAATATCCTCTGATGCTGGATTGCTTGAAGACAAGGGAGGGACATGGCTCTTTCCAATGACTGAATGATGAAAAAATGAGAGAAAGAGAGAAAAAAAAAGAGTTGGACGTTTGCTTTAAAGCTGACCATTCCATTCTGACATTCGGTTTGTTACTTTGTGGAACAAAGCCAAGATGTTCTGACCGAGGAGCCAAGGAACCAGGGTTGGTCTGGCTGTTTCTCCCACCAGGCCAAGCAAGCCCTAACCTCGGTTCAGGCAGAAGCCTGCATTCATTGTGGCTTGCAAACTGTTGCAGCAAAAAACAAACTCGCTCACCTCAACGGCTTCCGCAATCCGTATTAAGCAACGGGGGGGGGGGGGGTGAACCCGGTTTTCAACTCCCAGAAATGAGGAAATGGGTGAGCTGGAAAGCAACGACTTTTTATTTTTTTAATTTTTTATTCTTTTGCAAGAAAAAAAATGAAGAGGCGCCCGGCTGTGTTCTACAAACCCCCTCCAGTGTGCAGAAATATTTTGCTTGGTTTCTATGCAACTGCTAAAAAAAAAAATAATAAT